GTGGGGGGGGGGGGGGGGGGGGGGGGGGGGGGGGGGGGGGGGGGGGGGGGGGGTACGTATATCTCCTGAATAGAGGTTATTCACCTGGATAGCCTCATTCCCTGATGAAGATGTCCTGCTAGACATCGAAATATTGGAGGTAAAAACTATGGCTGTTGACTGAAGAAAAAATCACATCATTCTTAGAATAAACTTAAAATGAAAATATGAAAACTAATTTTAAAAAATGGCTGCACATTTTTATGCAAATGAATTAAATCTATTCAACGTAAACTGAATATCCATGCTTTGAGACATAAAATAAGAGCATCATGCTAGCATCATAAAACTTTTTCCCTTGAATATATCAATTATCTTATATTAGAACATTATCAGTTAATATCATATTAAATGAATGCTGAATATTCATTAACAGACTCAAGATCTACCTTTCCCTTATACCTTAGTGATACTTGATGATGAAAAGGACATGGTTCTGTTCTGAATAAATTTGATCAATAATTATATAACCATGTTTTATGAAAAATGGATAAGAAAGAACATTTCATACACACATAATAAGGACCATCATATGTTCAAATATATATAACTGACTTTCAAAAATCTAAGATAACCCAAAAGTTGTTATTCATCCTCAAAATTAAGGAAGAGGAGAATGAAAACATGACAGCCATTACACACTTGTGCTATATAAATCAGAAAAAAATTCTATAACAAACAATACCAATTTGTAAGCCTTCATTATTGTTCATCAAGTATACAGTCATAGCAAAACTTGCAAGTCACCAGTCAAAGGCCTACCAATGTGATGAAATTCACGCATTCATAGGACCAAACTGGTAACGTTTTCCAATTCCCCATTTGTCAAGTCTACATATTTACCAGTTTAAAGTATATTCCTGATTTTCTTTGAACACTAATTGCAATATTCCATTTTTTTCAGTCTGAAACACATTTTTGTGAAGCAAACAGATTAAATAACTGTATCTGATTCCAATACTACTGAATTAATGCATTATAAATGTGACATATATTGCAAAAAAAAAAAAAAAAAAAAAAAAAAAAAACTATTTGGAGCTACAGCTTCAGTTAGCCAAAATGATTAACTCTTTACTACGACTTACTTCAGGTTATCTAATATCAAACCAAATGTACATTTACACGACAGATGGTAGAATCAAATGTCAGTTAATGCATGTTGACTCAGTTATCACTGAAGTATTACACATGTCTGCACACTGCAAGTCCAATGCACAAGTGATCATAGTTTAAGCAGATAGCATGGCATATATGTTCATCACATATGTCATTAAGGGGGCATTCTCTGGTATTTGTGTCCAAGGCTCTATTCCCATAGATTTTAGATCGATCTATCCCCGTGGGGAGTCTCACTAGATTACTTTCAGATAATCCGACTTAAATGTCCGTCCCGCCTACTACAAGCTGTAAAGAGGTAATTAACTTTTGGGTCCGCCCGGCTGATAGCTATTTAGCGTGAACCCCCAGGGAGTTAGGTCGATCTAAAGTAGGTCGATCTAATCTATGGAAATGGGGTGCAAGACACAAATCAATCAGACATGCCAAAAATTTCATATCAAGAAGTTTTGCTTATCTCCCTATATCAGGCCTACCCAGCTACCAGACTCCCCACCGGATGATCCTGAATTCATTGTTAGATTGGACCACAATACCCGTTTTCAAGGTGTGTATCAGTACGCGCTTCGAAGTATCAGACACAACTCCGTTCTTGCCTAGTATGCGATATGATAGTGATGATTCTCAGCAGGGTTGGAAAGTAGTGCATCCCATCTCAAAATTTGTTCCAGGGTATGATACTGTGAAATGCATACTGACGCACAACTTGAAAACGGGTAGTGTGGTCCGATCTACTGGTAAATTTGGGATCATACAGTGCCGAGTCTGGTAGATGGGTAGGCCTGTAAATAATTATTCAAATTCCTTGTTGTTAATGTACAAACAACTATGCATATATATATATTTCAAATGAAAACATAGAATAACTTTGTGTTCAATATCACTAAATTTTGAAAAACGGAGGGGACTGAGGTATTAACCAAGGAACACAAAGGTTACCTGTTTATCAAATAACAAAATTATAAAATGCTACACTATAAAATGCAACACTTCAACAAGTGACAAAATTTAATGCACTTTGTAACTAAGGTGTTTCAATTATCAACAAACAATGCAGGTCACTTTACTAAGGGAATCTGCAATGTATTTGTCTTTATTTAAAATTTGTGGTAATAATACAATTTTCTGGGTCATTTTAAAAATAATTTTGTTCATCACACCACTGGAGAAAGAGAAAGACATTTAACCACTGATTAAGCTTGGTCTATTTTAGTTTGACAAAGTTTGTTCCAAACACAGCAGTGGGACAATATAGTGCTACATGCAATATCCTTAATAACTAAACTGAGTATTACATTTCTTAGTACATGTTGTACCTAGTAAATGTGAACTGTTGCGTGTGAGTCATATATGTCAGAACATGCTCTTCGTGTCTTTCTTTTCATGCAGAAAAGACCTAATTCAGTGCTTTATACTCACCAATACAATTCTTATTATATCATATGTCAAGAGTTAATTTGAAATATAAACTCAAACAAAAAGGGCTTCTGAATAATAAATATTTTTACACAAATACTTTGTTGCTTGTATATTTGCACAATATTTAGATGGAATATACTTCATTCATGTTGAATTTAATTGTTATCTGATAACTGATTATGAATCTGACATTTGGGTATCATCAGGAGAGGCACTCACCATAGAGTGAGTTGTGATTATCTAGATGAGATCTAGTGGAAACTGTCAAAGGACCTTAAAAAAGTATATTAGTCCATATTATTACTTACTGACACAATGAGACTTCCCACAATTAAATTGGTTTGGGGCCTCATGCCATAAGGCCTTTGGGCATTTTGTTTTTATAAGAACTTCAAGCATGGAATCTGTCTACGTAGACTCTTAAGTAGAGTTCGATTCAATATTTAGTTTATATCATGTCAATTCATAAATTGTAAAGCATTGCACAAGCCTCATAATTACACAAGCTACGTTACAAAATACTGAACGCCAAAGACAACATGCAACTTATACACATTTTACTGCAAAAACTGCAACAAATTTCAAATGTAAAACATTTATGCAGATGTCATGTTTGTTTTGGAGATGATTGAAATATGGTGGGGCACTTTTTGCTGGGCTACGTTCTTACCTTATGCGTTGAAAAAAATCTCTCCCAGACAAGTTTGACTTGTCGGTCTATAGTGAAACAATTTTGGTTAACCAGTTACTTGTGCAATAACCTTGGTGCCTCAATCAATAAAGATCTATGTGTTATTGACACTTTCTATCCGGTGATCGTTGCCACTTCGGTTTCTGACCCAAGCAGTGTAATCCCGCAGTTTAGAAAAATGTGGTCAATGATTGGATGATTATCAAACTATGGTCGCTTATGCGCAATTCATTTATCGCCAACAAAGTTCTATCGTCAAACCTGTTCACACAGTAAAATACTTTTTAAGGAGCATTTTCTTGTTATGAGAGAACAACACACACGTAAACTTATACAAACAAATAGTTTTTCAAGGCTCCAGTATTGAAAATAATAAATTGTGAACAGATATCTTGGTTATAATGTAGCATTTATTATAACAGCACCAGTAGTTATACATGTACATATGAACATCCAGGCATAGCCTAAAAAGACATTTGCTTTTCTATTAAATTATGCTTGTAAAATTATGTGAATGAATGTTGTCAGCTCATCAAATATCATACAGGAGCACACATTCCTTAAGCAATCTTGGAATAGGTAATTCTTTAACATGACATTGGACTCTGTGACCTACTGTTTCTCTTATTTTCATTCGCACTAAGGATTTTAAAGATGATACATTGTTCTCTTTAAATTGTAGCCAAGACAGAAATCTCTTCCATTCTGACTTCAAATATTCTGGAAAATATTCCTCCATGTTCTTTTTTCTTATCTGCTGTCTTATATTGGTGATAGTTCTCAGTCTTGCACCAGCCACTGTTTTTTTTCTATAATCTTTTGGTCTAGTAAACAATTGCATTACATCATTTTTAATGCCATGACATAATAAGAGTTCAATGCACCTTTGAAAATCCTGTATTTTCTGACATGTGTCCAGCTTAAATGAAGACAAGGTGTCCAGTAAATGAAAAAGACATAACAGTGGTATTCTCACACAGGACTTCTGATAAATACCATCAGCCCTTGCACCATTGTTCAACAAAAGCCGAACCAAATCAGGACTTACAATCCCACAGGCTCTTTCTAAAGGTGTTGGATTTGCAGAAACGAAGGGCCCTGTCCTACCAGGAATGAAAGACCAATGGTTCACATCTACATATGGACTAACTAGCAATTCTTCCATGCACTGCAAAATCAAATCAGTGTCTAAGCAGCGTACAATTAAATAAGCTTGTGGGTCAAATAGAATAAATAGTAAATTAATTGGTTTATAGCCATAGTGTGCAACAACATTGGTATTAGCTTTGTTTTCCATCAACAAGCGAATGATATTTGTATCTTTTCTGAAGCAGGCTATATGAAGTGCAGTCCAGTTGTCTTCTAATGACTGTGCATCTATGTAACTGCCATTTTTTAGGCACAGCCTCAGACACTCTATGTGTCCAGCACGTGCAGCTGCATGTAATTCAGATTCTCCTCTGTATTCTCCCATAACTTGTAGGTCAACACAGGAAAAAAGATATTCAAGAATCCTGTAGAAAAAATAAGCCTCATAAAAATTCCAAATATCATACAAAAGGATAGTCCATGGATTTTCGGCAAAGGCTAACAGTAACAAAAGGACATAAAAAATGAAAACAATTAAAGGATTCTATACTTATGTTAAAGGGATAATAACTCTTTGTATGAGATCTATATTTCACAATAAAAACATTGTGAATAACTCATAGAAATATAATATATTCTGTTTTACCACAAAAACGGCAGTTATAGCTATTATTCTGGTATCTGAGCTTGTCTTTAGATCACGTGACCTCCATATTGATGGCTATACTCTGTTAAAATCTCTTAAGAGATTTTAACAAACTACCAAACTTTTTAGAAAAAAACCAGAGACTAAGTTTGAATGTAAAAATGGATTCATTAACCATTGGTCAGTATGGGAAAATTGTTGTTTACTCCAGGAAAATTCATTTTTTGGCCGAAACGAAGAGTTATTATCCCTTTAATTTAATGTTTACTTCGTCCATAAAATAAAGTGGCTTGCATGTTGTTAAATAGGATAAAATGCATCTTGCATATAATAAGCACTATGGACATCCAAAGTGAGCAAAATAAAAGAGATTTTATCAATATAAATCCCATGTGCATTTCTTTTAAACCCACAGACCGGATAACAGCAACTGAAAAAGTAGACAAAAACAAGCTAAATTGGTCTACTCTTCTGTTGCAGAACTCCATACTCACTTCTGTTTTCCAAAATAAGCTGCAAAATAGAGTGCGGTTTCTCCCATGTCATTCTTTTCATTAATATTGCACCCACTGTTTATCAAATTTTTAACCTAAAAAAATTAAACAAGAAAAGATATTTTAATAAAAAAAATGAAATTTTAAACATTCAAATTATCTAATACATTTTAATTACTTGTATTTCCTTTTGTTACAGTTAAATTTTACAGGCACGGAGGCACATAATTGGAACCACATACATCCCAGATTGTATGTGATCCTTCTTCTGTAGTCTATGCTTAATATTAACTACCACTTTATCATTTATAATATAGGGTTTAATAATTATAACAATTTAATCAATGGCTTATAATGCTCTTTGTAATTCAAAATGCTGCACAAAAAAGTTGTTTTAAATATGTTCTTAAATTATGTTGAACTTCTTGAATGACCTTGAATCATCTTGATTTTTTTCTCCCCTAAGTTTTAATGTTTAATGTTTGACATAAAAACAGAATAAAATTACCCAAAGTTTAATCACAAAAACACTTCAATCTTCAAATTATTTACATTTTCTAAATTATTTTGATATATTGCCTGATGCAGTTTAGGTAACAAGTGAAATTCATCCAGCGCTCTCTCCATCCAAGCATCAGGATTGATGTTCTTGTTCACTGAAAGCAACCCTCTGACAGCCATCTGTTATATTTCTGCTTCACCACTCCATTTTAATAACAGTCACTGCATGTTGGCCATATTATTTTTTCATGTCTAACAGCATCAATGTGCTGTTAACATATCTATTCCCATATCCTCCGATATATCTGAAAAACAGTTAAGTTCAAGACAATATATTATTGCTCTTTCAATAAAATCTTACAACTACAAACTACACTGTATAGACTTTTATTAATTCGATAATTACACAACACTGTTGACCTTATTTTTAGCTCATGAATTACTTAAGTCTGACTTCCAAATTGTAACTCAATCTACTGTACAAGATTTGAAAAGGTATGAAAGATTAAGGTGGGATTTCAGTAAGTTTGGGCATGACAATGAGTGAAAAAAATGCATATTTCTGAATACAAACTACTGCACAACATCATGCACCACAAAATGAAAATGCATTAGCTGAAATTACTAGGTCAGTACGTTCTTTACAAACTGAATTTGCTGGACCATGGGATGTTTCCTGTGTTTTATGCATGCAATATTTTATCAATCAGGACCCCTGTACCTTCATAAACTAGTTCATCGCTATGCTCCAAAACGTGGTTTAAGATCACTTGGCCAGTTATAGAGTCCAAGGACAAATTTAAAAAGCAATTAAAAACGTATATTTTCAAAAAGTTTTATAACTGACATGACTGGCTTGTTATCTTGACATTGTACTATTTTAATATATCTTAACTATTTATTTGACTTTATTCATCTTCTTCTGTTCATTTTACCCCTGTAAAGTGTACTGATCATTTAATGTGGATTCTAAATTTTAAAAAATATATTATATTATATTATAATTATTAATTATGGGGCATAGTCACAATTTTGGGAGAACCAAGGAGTTACAACTGTTGTAACTCCTTGGGAGAACCGAGACTAGAGAGAGTAACGAATCGAGATGATATAATATTATTGCATCATAAATTTTGCTAGAAAACTTGTATTTCTTTACTATCATATTGGTTATTTTATAAAGACATGTGTGCATTTCTAAAACTTACTTTCATTTTATCCTAAAGATTGGGTTCTAGAAGTTTGCAAACCATTGCTTGCAGTTGTTCGAGCCATGATTCATTTTCTTTCGTAAATAGAACAGTGCACATGCGTTACAACTCACTTCCGTGTGATCTACCACGCTTTTAAAAATGGCGGAGGCAAATGGTCCCAATGCTGGAATTATTCCAGCTATTTACGATTTTTTGAAAGAAAAATGCAAGAAAGCAGCGGACATTTTCAAAAAAGAGACTGGTGCAGTAAGTCAGTTGTAATTTTACATTACATTCTATCTTGAAATATGAATGGCCCCTACCTCTTTATTAAATATTTGCTGACCACGTGCATCTTGTCGCTACATGGTACAGAGACGGGGACAGTTCGGAGCATAAGACGCTGGTGTAAATTTCTTTGGCACCAAAGCCAAAGGCCGAGTTTTGCAACTGAACCAAATGCAAAATTTGGGGATTTTTTTAGTATTTCCCCACCTTTTTTCAATGTTGTCTGAGGCCATGATGCCTGTCACGTCTTTAGCAGTCTTAAACTTTACTCATGTCTTACTTTTAGTTTTAAAGTAGAGTACTATTAATCTACACAGGTTTAAGTAAAGAGAGATGATTTTATGCCACATACATTACTAGCGTCTAATTTGCAAATGTTTTATACTTTCCAGAAACCACTACCCCCTGGATCACCAAGAATTGCTGACATATACGAGTCATGGATAAAGTGAGTATGATTGTAATGGTTCACATAGAAGTAGGGACAAACAATCAAAGAAAGAAATTCTATGAGAAATTTTATGTAAAGTTTACCAGACAAATACATTTTAGAAAAGTAGTGGTAGGGATATTTTTGTTCATGTTTTTGTGCTAAGATTGAATTTTATTTAGAAAAAATACTTTTGAAGTGTTTTAAGAACACCATAAGTTCTTTTTCAGGACACAATCTCCAGTGAAGAGGAAGGCGGATTCTAGTTCTGGAGTTCAAAACCACAAGAAAGCCAAGCAGGACAGCTCTGATTCTGATTCTTCCAGGTACATATTTTCTTAGTGACATAGGAATAATAGGCCTACCTATGCAGAACACTAGATATAACATCAAATGATTTTAAAAAAGGAATGCAAAATAGAGAAGTATTAATGGTGGAGAGATTTATGCTAGTCATAGAAGGATTGATTTCAAATTTTGTATGACCTGTTTTTATTTTAGTGACTCAGAAAGTGAGAAAAAGCCAGCCAAGGTTTTACCAGACACAACTAAACCAGTGGCTCCTGCCAGTAAAAAGAATAAACCAGATTTACCATCGAGTTCTGACTCTGATGCGGACTCAGAATCATCAGATTCTGATGAGCCTACACCCAAAGGCACTTCAAAACCTGTAGGAAAAAAATTAACAAAAACAGCCACTTCCCAACAGATGAAAACTGCCAACCCACAGTTGAAAAAGGCAGAAGCTAGCAGTGATAGTAGTACTGATTCTTCTGACTCAGNTAAGCTGAAATTACTAGGTCAGTACGTTCTTTACAAACTGAATTTGCTGGACCATGGGATGTTTCCTGTGTTTTATGCATGTAATATTTTATCAATCAGGACCCCTGTACCTTCATAAACTAGTTCATCGCTATGCTCCAAAACGTGGTTTAAGATCACTTGGCCAGTTATAGAGTCCAAGGACAAATTTAAAAAGGAATTAAAAACGTATATTTTCAAAAAGTTTTATAACTGACATGACTGGCTTGTTATCTTGACATTGTACTATTTTAATATATCTTAACTATTTATTTGACTTTATTCATCTTCTTCTGTTCATTTTACCCCTGTAAAGTCTACTGATCATTTTATGTGGATTCTAAATTTTAAAAAATATATTATATTATATTATAATTATTAATCATGGGGCATAGTCACAATTTTGGGAGAACCAAGGAGTTACAACTGTTGTAACTCCTTGTAGAGAGAGTAACGAATCGAGATGATATAATATTATTGCATCATAAATTTTGCTAGAAAACGTGTATTTCTTTACTATCATATTGGTTATTTTATAAAGACATGTGTGCATTTCTAAAACTTACTTTCATTTTATCCTAAAGATTGGGTTCTAGAAGTTTGCAAACCATCAGAGCAATGCTTCATTTTCTTTCGTAAATAGAACATTGCACATGCGTTACAACTCACTTCCGTGTGATCTACCACGCTTTTAAAAATGGCGGAGGCAAATGGTCCCAATGCTGGAATTATTCCAGCTATTTACGATTTTTTGAAAGAAAAATGCAAGAAAGCAGCGGACATTTTCAAAAAAGAGACTGGTGCAGTAAGTCAGTTGTAATTTTACATTACATTCTATCTTGAAATATGAATGGCCCCTACCTCTTTATTAAATATTTGCTGACCACGTGCATCTTGTCGCTACATGGTACAGAGACGGGGACAGTTCGGAGCTTAAGACGCTGGTGTAAATTTCTTTGGCACCAAAGCCAAAGGCCGAGTTTTGCAACTGAACCAAATGCAAAATTTGGGGATTTTTGTAGTATTTCCCCACCTTTTTTCAGTGTTGTCTGAGGCCATGATGCCTGTCACGTCTTTAGCAGTCTTAAACTTTACTCATGTCTTACTTTTAGTTTTAAAGTAGAGTACTATTAATCTACACAGGTTTAAGTAAAGAGAGATGCTTTTATGCCACATACATTACTAGCGTCTTTAATTTGCAAATGTTTTATACTTTCCAGAAACCACTACCCCCTGGATCACCAAGAATTGCTGACATATACGAGTCATGGATAAAGTGAGTATGATTGTAATGGTTCACATAGAAGTAGGGACAAACAATCAAAGAAAGAAATTACCAGACAAATACATTTTAGAAAAGTAGTGGTAGGGATATTTTTGTTCATGTTTTTGTGCTAAGATGAAAATAAAGTATTGAATTTTATTTAGAAAAACTACTTTTGAAGTGTTTTAAGAACACCATAAGTTCTTTTTCAGGACACAAACTCCAGTGAAGAGGAAGGCGGATTCTAGTTCTGGAGTTCAAAACCACAAGAAAGCCAAGCAGGACAGCTCTGATTCTGATTCTTCCAGGTACATATTTTCTTAGTGACATAGGAATAATAGGCCTACCTATGCAGAACACTAGATATAACATCAAATGATTTTAAAAAAGGAATGCAAAATAGAGAAGTATTAATGGTGGAGAGATTTATGCTAGTCATAGAAGGATTTATTTCAAATTTTGCATGACCTGTTTTTATTTTAGTGACTCAGAAAGTGAGAAAAAGCCAGCCAAGGTTTTACCAGACACAACTAAACCAGTGGCTCCTGCCAGTAAAAAGAATAAACCAGATTTACCATCGAGTTCTGACTCTGATGCGGACTCAGAATCATCAGATTCTGATGAGCCTACACCCAAAGGCACTTCAAAACCTGTAGGAAAAAAATTAACAAAAACAGTCACTTCCCAACAGATGAAAACTGCCAACCCACAGTTGAAAAAGGCAGAAGCTAGCAGTGATAGTAGTACTGATTCTTCTGACTCGGAAAATGATGCTCCTAAACCTTCACAAACAGTTATACCTCAAGCAGCTAAGGGAAAACCAGTAGTTCCAGCTAAAGCAGCTGAGAAAGACTCCAGCTCTGGTTCTTCAGACTCCAGCTCCGACTCTTCAGATGATGAAGGGCCACCAGCCAAGAAACCTGCCTTAAATGTAGCAAGGAAATCTCCCACCCAAAAACCTACCCCACAGGCCATGAAACCTATACCACAAGTTTCAAAAGCTAAGAAGGCAGAATCCTCAAGTTCAGAAGACTCGTCATCCTCTTCTGAAGATGAAAAACCTGCCCAGAAAGTGATAACCCCTGCTATTAAACCTCCAGTGGGAAAAGTTACTCCTCGCAAAGTTGCTACCCCTGCTAACAAAAAGCAAGTAGCGAAAGCATCGAGTTCAGATACAAGCAGTTCTGATGAAGAGGAGAAGCCAGCAAAAGCAACACCTGTTGCTGGCAAACCAAAAGCACCAGCATCTAAACCTGCACCTGTAGCTGTGAAAAAAGACTCGGATTCCAGTTCATCAGATACAAGCTCAGATGAGGATGTGTCTGTGAAAACAACTGGAAAAACTACAGTAAAAACAGCCACACCAGCAAAGCCTGCAATATCTGCAAAAAAAGACTCAGATTCCAGTTCATCAGATACAAGCTCAGATGAGGATGTGTCTGTGAAAACAACCGGAAAAACTGCAGTAAAAACAGCCACTCCAGCAAAGCCTGCAATATCTGCAAAAAAAGAATCAGATTCCAGTTCATCAGATTCAAGCTCTGATGATGATGTAGAAACTGCCACACCTGCAAAAACGTTGACAAAGGCAACTCCTGCAAAGCCAGCTTCAAAACCATCAACATCTAACAAGAAACAAAAATCTGATTCCAGTTCTTCAGACTCGAGCTCCGATGAGGATGTCCCTGTAAAGAATATCACATCTACTAAAGTAACAGCAAAGGCAACTTCAGCTGCAAAACCAGCAACAGTGACAACCAAGAAACAAGCATCTGATTCCAGTTCATCCGATTCTAGCTCAGATGAGGACATCTCTAAAGAAGCTGCAACCAAGGCAACCCCTCCAGCCAAACCTGCACCAAAGTTGGCATCTGCCAAGAAAAAAGAATCGGATTCAAGCTCATCTGACTCCAGCTCAGATGAAGAGGAAAACAAAAAGAAACAACCAGCAAAACAAGGAGAACCAGCCAAACCCTCAACCCCAGCCCAAAAACAAGCTAAGCCAGATTCTAGTTCTTCATCTGAGTCTAGCAGCTCAGATGAAGATGACAAACCTGCTTCTAAGGCACCTGCTAAACAAACAACAACTGCCAAGAAGGTCAAGCCAGATTCCAGTTCATCAGATTCTAGTAGTTCAGATGAAGATGAAAAACCCAGTACAAAAGGAACAGCAGCAAAAGTAAGTGCTAAGAAACGAGAATCTAGCTCCTCTGATGATTCTAGTTCTGAAGACGAAACTTCAACTACAGCTAAAAGGATTGCAGCTGGGGCAGTGAATGGACAAAAAATGCCAACAGCTGCGAATGTAACTAAAAAACAAGATTCTAGTTCATCTGACTCCAGCTCTGATGATGAAAATGATAAAAAGAAAGTTCTTCAAAATTCTAACCCAAAAACTGACCCTAAAACACAAACAAATGTTAAAACTCTGAGTAAGACTAAAGCAGAGTCGCCTAGCTCAGATTCTAGTACTTCAGACGAGGAAGAAATTCCTACCAAAAAGGCCAAGATGGTTACACCTAATTCAGTTGAGAAGCCTCTCTTAAATGGTGGTAGTGGAGGAAGTGGGGTAAGTTATGCATGTTTTTCTGGTCACATAAAATTATTTGAAAAGAAGTAATGTTGAATGAATTAAGAGATCTTGTTAAAGATATGCTATACAAGTTAACAATATGCCAAACTCATTTTTTAATATGCCTAGGTGTTCTGCCAGATTACTTTTTCTTAATTCAGACCTTAAAGATGATAACTCCCCTAGCTTTTTTCGGGGGGGGGGGGGGGGTTGGGGGGCAAACAATAAGCTGATTACATTGAGTGCACTTCAGCAAGAATCCCCGCACAGATAGATCGATACTGCTGATAGGAATATAATTCCTATTCTAAATGCAGCCAATAATTGAGTAGGCATACGTTTAATATGAATTTGATCAGAGATACTAATACTGATATATTCAGTTGCCAAAAAAAAAAAAAAATCATTTTGTTTTTCTCTTTCTGTCTTTAAACTTCTCTTTGAAGTATTGTTCTAATGAAAAAATACCTCTTTTTTATAGCAAAAGGTAAAAAATAGTCCATTTAAAAGAGTGAAGGAAGATCAGATTAAAGTTTCCCCAAAACTAGCGGACAATTCATTTGAAGCCAAGGTCAGTAAAGAGTGAATAAACAGGTTATAGAATTAATTAAAACACAAATGCTTGAAATTCTAATATTTTATGGTTAAATTGTTTTGAGTGTGAGACAAGATTATGGTAGGTACCCAGTTTTGTTATATTAATGTTCATTTATGTGGCAGTTGGATGTAGTTAGTAGTAGGACAGGTTATAGTATATAGAATTGATTCAGCCTTCTGCAGATTTTACGAGTAGATCATGCTTTTTTCAAAATGTGAATTCCTTTGAAACAATTTTCTGAGGTCAAACAATTCTAGAAATTCATTAATTCGTTTAGAATAAGAAGTTACGATTGTTTAATTGGTTTTTTACTTTGCTAAGAAAAAAAAGGCATATAATCCTGTTTTTCTTTGCAGTCTGGTGCAAGGGGATCATGGGGGGAGAGAGCAAATCAAGACTTGAAACACACAAAAGGGAAATCCTTCCGCCATGAAAAGACTAAGAAGAAGAGAGGCAGTTATGCTGGAGGTGCTATAGATCAAAGTGTGCACTCTATCAAGTTTGACAGTGACTGAATGTTCTAACCTCATCTCAGAGAACTCCCAACACTGAACATTTTCAAAAAACTCACCAGATTGTGGGACATATTTCCATGAATGAAACACCATAAACTTATGTTCTCATACTGTGTACTTTGTCATTTGGGTAATTAAAGCATAAGTAAGTCAAATCAGTTGTCACCAGTGCTATCTTGGTAGATTTTCAGTGGCTGCATTTGAGATGATGCTGCTGCGATTTCAGATGGACAACCATTTCAGAGAAATTAGGTAGCAGTAGATCCAAGTTTTGAGCTGATTATATTAGAGCTGTTACATTACAAGCATTAAGTAGTTTTCATGGGTTTTCTTGATTATTTTTGTAAGAATAATAAAAGGAAGTGGATTATTAGCTGTAGTAAAGGTGATTATGTAGTAATTTATACCACTGAATGATGAAGAAGCACCAGATATGTCCAAATGTGAAGATTATTTTCTTGAGTAACATTGCATGTAGGTAGGAGGAACAGATCTTCAGAAGTCATCTAAAAGAGATGAAACTACTAGTAATTTTTACTGAGAGAACTAGTATCTTTTTCTACTGCCGGGATCTGTTAAGGCTCAATGAACTGAGAGGTGGGATGGGTGAAATATTCATCGATGATGAAAACATAAAAATAGTTGTTTTCATTAACTTGTATAGAAAATGCCAATTGCATTAAAGTAGTAAAGTAGTCTACGTGATGGATTTAGAAATAAGTTGGAGAATTTTCAACAGTTTTAGAATTTTAGGTTTTGTTGCTGGACAATTTAGGCAATAGAAAAATGGCATTCTCTTTGTGATGTTGAAAAAATAAATGTAGTTTAACAGAATAGTTTCCATTGTTTCAGTTGCCTCAAAGTCCTAATTTAAGTCCTAGAATTGACATTTACAGGGGGTTGAACTCTCAAGCTGAAAGACTTGGGAAGAGTGAATTATGGCATATATTGTCTCTTACACACAATACACTTGAAATGATATCTAAGCAGAGTAACTACATGTCCTGGGTTTTCTACATCCTAAATGAACCCACCAAAAAAAAAATACATGTATGTGTGTGTTGAACTTGATCCCAACTTCAGTGTGCTTCACACAGCTTGTGACATTCCCCCTCCCCCCCCCCCCCCCAAATCACTTTGTATAAAACAAACATCTGATATGTGAAATAAAGATAACCAATTTGTAATCAACTGCCCGTTCTGGAACAGTTGTATCTTTTCAGACTGCTGTAAATCATCTGAATTAAAAATTTGTTGGCTGCCTAAGGGAGAATAAAAAAATAAACCTGATAAAAATGTTTAAAAACTTTAATCACAACATTTTACTTCATACCATATATAAAAGCTATATGAACAACTTGAAGGTGAAGACGGATGTCACTGAATGATTTGATGTAACAACTGTAAAGATATTAAAAGGTATTGCTTTAGGACAACAATAAAGGGACGGTATTAAAAGTTAATCAGGTTAACACTACAAAACATTATGAAAAATATACAGGTTATATATACAAAAAAAAAAACAACTCGATTTTGGCTCAAAGGTGGCAATCAACATTCTGATATCACAGGTTTCCATGCAGTGCTTGACAGTCTGAAGAATGGTTGCCATTTGACTGATCCTTCATTCATGTCCACAATTTTACTCCAAGCAAAAGTTTTTGAGTGTTCCTCATTTACATGTACTTGGATTTTGGTAAAATTGGAGCTCCCTTCACTGGTGATGACACTGCAGTGGTGGTAAGCTTGAGGTTTTCTCTAACATAGTTCATTCTCTCCCCCCGTCTCCTGGGGTCTGGGTGTGGCCCTGCTATGGGTCTGGAGGAGGCTCCCCTAGGGGGTGTGTACTCAGGCAGTACACCACGGACACTGTAGGTCCACTGCATGTCTGGGGTCTGGAATGGATTATAAAAATTCAACACATAATTTAGTATTTATATGCTATTCCTTTAGTATTTAAACAAATAACAACAAAGAGACAAAATTACAGGTGAACTGCTAATTAGGTGTTTTTTTAACTGGAACAGTCATTGTTTAGTTAGTTTTCATAAATAGTTTGTTTCCTAACTGTGTTTTCCACTTTGCATGTAAACCAATAGAAATAGTTTATTACCTGAACTACCAGCTTAGCTTGATACAGCTTTCCATACAGTCCAGGAGTGAAACTGACAGATATCAAAGTGCCATTACTTCCCACTGGCAGCAGCTCTCCACTCTGTGGATAGACTTTGAATTCTGCATCACTGCCAGCCAAGAAGTATGCATTGTATGGTGTTGGGTGCCTATAGCCAAAGGAAAAAATTAAATAAAAATGTATCTTGAAACCAAAGGGATAGTGACTTCAAATATAAAACAGAAAACAAAAAAACTTTAACTAAACTGAATGGTTAGTCTAGGCTTTTCATTCATTTTCCAACTATTCACTTTTTTTCAGATCAATCTGTAATTTATTTCAAATACATTCTCTACACTAGAGCATGATATTTTAGTTCAGTCACAAACATTTTATAACAAGAGAAGCTTGATTTCAAATAACAAATCAAATCATTACGTTGTTTGACTTGTCAGACGGAATCCAACATTAGACTCCTTGTTCAGCCCTAAAGCCTCAATTTCTATCACATCATCTGGCTGGGGCTCTGTGGCAATGAAACGAACAGGAAACTTCCACACACCACCTGTGACACTCTTCACCATCAATTTTACATCATGCCTGGAAAAGAAGGATGAAAAATTTCCATAAAAATTAAATGGCTCATGCATTACATGAAAAATGATGTAGTTATTATCAAAAATATCCAACAAAGAAATTCATCAGTTGTGATATGCACAATACTACAATAGTTTCTTCAAATAACAGCTAAAAATCAAATTGGAATTATCAAATTAAAAAAATATCCAACAAAGAAATTCATCAGTTGTGATAAGCATAATGTTACAATAGTTTCTGCAAATAACAGCTAAAAAATCGTTGATATTACCACAAGATACATTCATCAGGGGATGAGGCTAGAGGTGGTATAGTATCCTCTATCTGAGAAGTGCAGTAAGCTGCCCCCCCCCCCCCAACCTCTATCCTACACCCACAAAAATTTGTCAAATTTCAGAAAGGAAAAAGTGCTCAATTAAAAAAAAATATATATATCTTTCAGACTATTCACAAAAGTCGAGAGTAAAATGTTAATGGATATTTTCCCAATACAAAATCAAAGATCCCCTTTCAATACAACATAAACTTCTGCAGGAAGACAAAACTACCTACAATTTCACATGCCCATATGAAATAACTTACATCATCTGTTTATATGGTGCAAACACAATATTAAACACTAGCACTACCAGGCCAGATGTTTTGTCTCTGTATTGTCTGATCATGTTCAGGGCCACAGAGTGTTTCAGATTGTCCTTGTCATCTGCATCATCATACTGGATTTCATAAGTAAATTCTTCCACTGGTTGGAGTCCTAGATGATAAGTGTTTACGTTGAATGGTCAAAGTGCATATCTTCTTGCAATAATTTACTAGTGAACTGCTCATCATAACTGTTAATCACTATGCACTTAATGATAATTGTAGCACAAAGTTTGAATAATAATAATATCTCAAAGAAGCAAAATAAATTATGTTATTTTTAGGATTTCAATGCAGATTCTAAGAGACATAAATCAGACACTTTTGATTCATGAATTATGAAAAAATGTCAATTTAAATATTAAATCTTTCATTTTATGTATCTCATTTACCTTCTCCAACCACAATTCCCTCAGGTATTTGAGGCTCCTTCCCCTTAGGTGTGATAGCTCTAGCCCTAATCCCTCTCTGTGGCCCAGCTGAGCTAGGTGCCACACCAGACAGTGTCACCTCTAATCTCTCTTCTATTCTCCCCCTGGCCTGGCACTCCACCACTGTAGCCTGGGAGTCCATGGGGTGAGACTCTGGGATGCCATTCACAGGATATATCCAGCGGATAGAACGGATACCACTACTTGTGGTTCTGTTCAGTGGGATGCTGTGGAGTAAAGAGCCAGACATTAAGTTTATGACTATGGGTTAAAAAATGATATTTTAATACCAACTGCAAATCAAGTACTATATAATTTTAATTAAAGACATTGATATTAAAGGTATTCTTTTACATTGATATAAAAGGTACTCTTTAATATCCTTTTTAAAATTTCCTCAGTGGTGACTTTCTGTTTGAACCGTTTTTTCTAAATCTCAATTATTTAGCATACAGACATTAAAGGGATAATAACTCTTCGTATGAAATCTATATTTCACAATAAAAACATTGTGAATAACTCATAGAAATATAATATATTCTGTTTTACGACGAAAACAGCAGTTGTAGCTATTATTCTGATATATGAGCTTGTCTTCAGATCACGTGACCTCCATTGATGGCTATACTCTGTTATAATCTCTTAAGAGATTTTAACAAAAAACCAAACTTTTTAGAAAAAAACCAGGGACTAACTTTGAATGTAAAAATGGATCCATTAACCATTGGTAAGCATGGGAAAATTGTTGTTTACTCCAGGAAAATTCATTTTTTGGCCAAAACGAAGAGTTATTATCCCTTTAATTTTATGATGTATATACAGGTAATTCAGTACTCCACATCTAATCATTTCCAATGAAAATTGTATCTCTACATATATCCTCACCCTTTATAACTCTCAGGCACATTGTAATGCCAGCTGGAGCCATCTTCCTTTCTGATAACAGCCACACACAGAGCTTCATACATCTTCATCTCTTCTGGGGCAAATGACACAGGAATGTCCAGGGTGGATTTGGGCCCCACACGGATGCCACTCTTGTTCTTCAGCAGCAAACAGAATGGTGAATCCAGCTCCTCCATATCTCTGCTCTGGTCATATAATTCCATCTGCTGGTCTTTATCTGTAAAAAAAATTAATTCCAATTTTTGAAAGATGATTCCTCATATTTTCACCTCATTCAATGTGAAAGAAAACCTTTATTGATAACTTGTTGCACACAGTAAAATATGTAAAATACAAAATATCAAATCATAGTTTATCCAAACTTTTAAAACATTTGACAATGAATCAATGACTGCATATTACTAATACCCAAAAAGCTAGTTGTTCCCAGGTAAGAATGCATTTACAATGATCATCAATATTTGAACACTTGAGAAGATTGTGCAGACCAACCATGAATTTAATTTTTTTATAGAGGGTCTTATAAACAAATAATTTCTAATTTAACTCCAACCCAGTGCTTACCAGTCAAAGTAACATCAACCATGACAGCATGGTCCAGTGGGTTTCTGAATGGGATGATCAGTGTAGAGTTGGAGCCAGCTGGTGTGTAGACACATACAGGGTCCTGAGGCTGGGGGAGCAAGCCAGTACCAGAGGCTATGTACACCCACTCTCCAAGCTGGAAAGGAAATAAAGAATCAATATTGAATCAAGCAAGCTCAAATTTATATACATCAATGCCAATTTAACTCCAATTTTTGCTCTGTACACCAGTTATATTACTGCATACATAATATCATTGTTACTTATGTGGAAATGGGGACATAATGAACAAACTGTTTTAAGTGTCATTAGACAATGACAGATTTTGTACTAATTTTTATTTGTTGGACACAAATTTAAACATAGTATCATAAAATTCAAATGACTGGAGTTATGGTTTTCAGACACTGAAAAAAGAAAAAAAGGCCTCATTATTTATAAAATAGAAGTGTCATACACAGAAGCTGTTCAAAAACATAATAATATGTATGCACTTCTCTTCATACTCAAATTGATTCACAACTACCCTTAACATTTTCCAGCAATGTTTGACCTTTTCCTTTGTTGGTACCTTCCAAAACCACTTCATTCACAGTGACTGCCAAAACTTATAGATTTTTATGAAAGGGGTTTGTGTCTACAGAAAGCGCCTATTAAGAATTCAGTACAAAATCATTTTCTTAGTGTGTACAGCTGTCATAGTGGCTACAACATAATTTCCTGGGTAAGGGGCATGAGAATGATGATCTACAGTGATACACACCGGTGCTCAATATCTTCTACCTATACATGTCATAGAGGTGGTGTGTGATAGAATTACTGTGACACAGACTGTGATAAAGCAGACACACTTGCAAACATGTGGATATGTAAATAATCTAATGCACCTGGAGAGAGTAAAATAAAAAAACTAAATTAACTATTTAAAAAATGTTATCTCACCTTCAGGGCCTAAATTATATAAATAAACTATGTTAATTATCTTAGACTAAAATCTCAACTTCTGGGCCAATGTAATGCAATTTTAAAATGTATTTCTTTTAATTAAAATAACACATTGTTAGACAGTTTTGTTTTCTGAGTCTATTAATAAGATCATGTAGTAAAAATTTAGTAAGTTAAAAAGTACCATATAATAGTATAACATTGTTAAAAACTTGCACCAGCATTTCAGTTTCTGATGTCAGTGATTTTAAGGGAGAAAAGATTTATTTAACAAGCACAAACCTTACACAATATCAAATCAATTATTTCCCACTTATATCTACATGCTTGTTAATGAAAACAAATAGGAACAACATCATGAATTCAAACAAAAATCAATTTAATCTCAACCAACAGATAAGATTCCAGAGTGACACAGCACCAAATCACTTCAATTTGACTCTGAAATTATAAATCCATCTTCTCTCACAAAATCTCAAAAACTCAAAGAAAATATTGGGCATTACATCTGTTAAGATTGTAAACATACAAATATCAATTAACTATCAAAACTTGACAGAAATAGGTTACTCCCAAACCAACCTGTTCACTGTGGAAAGTAATCTTAGCATTGTGATCTGCCTGTCCCAAGTTGGAAGGCATGAAATGTAGTGGTATCTTGATTTGGGTGTGTGGTCTCAAAGAAATAGGTCTCTCGTTGTCCCTCTCTAATGTGAAGTTGTTGGTGTTAGAGATGGTTGGAATTAACTCCAGTATTTCATCTGTTGGGTTGTTTAGAGTTATGGTTTGTTTGGTCCACCTGGGTATAAGAATGGTTAATGGACAGAGTAATTTGAAGCCAATGTAAACAGTGCTGATATGTATTAAAGGCATTACTGGCTAATATATGCAAAGTAATGTACCTATGTACAGTGTAAATATAAAACTCATTTCCAATATTGCATTAAAAAAATTATAACAAAGGCTCTTGGAACTCTGTTTTGTTCACTTGCTGTTATTTTAAGTGAAACATTCTTTAACATATTGTTTACTAGCCTAATAAATTGCATGTGCAGTGTCACATACCTTCCCAATTCACACTCCATGTGAGGCAAAGTGGTAGGTCTGGGGCTCTCTGCAGTCAGACACAGATCATACCAGAACTCACCAACCACTTCATTGTAGAAGATCAAGCTGGAATATTAACACACATGCTCCACCAGTAACATTTATGTACATATCCTCAGTATCATTGCCAGAAACATAAAGTGATATGGTTGATAGTTTGTCATTAATTCTTAACTATATATGCATATGTGCCTTGCTAATTTTGTCATCAACCTATAGTTATTAAATATGTGCATACTTTATTCATTTTAACCTTAATTAGAATTAAAACGAAATTTAATATGAGATAATGCTTTTCATTACAGGTGGATAACTTCACTTACAACATTAATGTTTCCCCAAAATGTGACTATTACAACAGCAATATTCATATAACACTTTTTGACTACGACAACTCCTATTTCCTCACCTGCCCTGATACTTTCCAATAATAGCTGGAGAGTATTGGAGCTCATACAGCCTCTTCTCCCCTGGTTGCAGCAGTAGTTCTCCTGCTCCAGACAGGCCTGGACCCTCTATGGTCACATCAAGGTTGATCTCCTTGTCTGTGGGGTTCCTCACTCCCACCTCCAGTATTGATGATTTCTACAATGTTAGAATACAATGTGTGAGATGCAATCATGCAACATTAAAATGCTTTTAAATGTTTTGTTCATCCAAATTTTATAATAAATTAGTTGTGCCTGCTATGAAAACTAATATAACTTAGAACAGGACTGGTGTGCTAAAGAACAATGAGCAAAAAAATCTATAAAAATTAAACATCTTTGATACATGCATTACTTAAGTGAAATTAACATGTGAAAAAAGCATGGTTGAACACTGCAACATGCACCTCCAAAACTGCAGTACAATTGCTTTTGAGGTAATATATTACATTAAAACTCTAAGAGCTTTAAAGTAGACTACCTTGGTCTAGATCCAGTTTACAAACACTTTCTTTACCTGACATGCACATCCCAGCTCCAGTGTCTTCTCAGGTGCAGCAGGTTTGACATGCATGTCCACAGAATACCAGACTGTGTAACCATGGTACTCCTCATTTTCTGCCTCAGACCCAGGCTCTTCATCACCATCACTGTCCACTTCACTGGAAGAATATCTTAACCATTAGAGCAAATCTCAACCCAATTTATATTCTCAAAGGGAAAACAAATCAGTTTAAAATTTGTAGCTCGATATCTCACTGGTTAAATGCTTATGTCAAACAAGGCAGCAAAGCTGTCAAATGTACAGACAAAAAACAGAAAATAAAGATGCAAAATAGGTCATTTTGTCAATTTTGATGCAATAATAAATAATGCTTATAATAGCACTGTCAGTCAACACTGAATTTTAATCATGCACAACAGGTACCATGGTCAATAACAGGAGCGAACCCAGAGATATTTTCTGACAGTATTTCAAAGTATCTATGTTGATCCACCATTTTTATGGTCTACCAAAAAAAAAAAAAA